TGAAGGGGTATGAATTGTGGGCCTATATGCTAAAGGTCTTGAGTTCAAATCCCAGCATAGACACTGGATTTTTTCTACATTCATTTTTCCTTAGAAATAGTTCTAAGTTTTATTGTGGATTTGACATTCCCGCCAAAATGTTACAGTACAAAGGAAATCATGCAGAACAAAGAAACTCAAGCTAGTGTGATCTGGTAGAACAAAGGAGCATGGATGTTATTTATTTGATCTCTGTGCGTATACGATGATCATAAAGTGTGCTGAATTGCTCTCTCCACCAAAACATCTTACTACAAAAATGTATAGCAAGTTATACTTTGATATTAATGACTTACCAGTATTTTTTTCTTTATATTTCTGGTGAAATTGGTCGCTGAGCGGCTTTAACATACACCAACAAAAAGGATATGGGATAAACGTCAATGAACCAGCAACCCAACGACCAAAATGAAATTTAAGAGGCGTCTAACTAGTTTGAGCTTGAGAAATCATTCAATGCCATGTGATTCTATTTAGGTTGGTGCGTTTTTCGATTTATGAAAAAAGTCAATTTGAACAAAATAAAGAAAGGGAAAATTCTCCAAAAAAGAATACAAAAAAAAAGAAACATGAAATAGAGTAATAATATAAGTTAACAAATACGTACCTAGGTGCATTTTATAAGACAACCTTTTAACTTATTATTATCATTTTTTTTTTTTTTTTTTAATTGTAATTTTATTTTTATTTGTGTTCAATGTTAACCGATTAAGAGTCCTCCTAAAATGTAAAATTCACTTTAATGGGTATTTCTGGTGTATATATCACACAAACTATCTGCAATATACGAACATGACAGGACTGGGTATTGTAAAAGAGGGACAAAAGAAAACAGAGGGACAGTCAAACTCATAGATCGAAAACAAACTGACAACGTCATGGCCAAAAATAAAAGACAAACAGACAAATAATAGTACAGATGACACAACATAGAAAACCAAAGACTAAGCAACACGAACCCCACCAAAAACTGGGGGTGATCTCAGGTGCTCCGGAAGGGTAAGCAGATCCTGCTCCACATGTGGCACCCGACGTGTTGCTTATGTTATTACAAATCCGGGAAATAGTCTAATTCGGTAAGTCACATTCGTGAAAAGGGAGGGTAGTGTAGTTACGACATAAGGAACATATCCGATATCATCTGTGAAACGGTTATTCCATAACGGTCAACCAACTCGTGATGGCGTCCGTAAAAGTAACAAAGGGATGACTTCAACTTCACCATTTGGAACTCTTGGTTTAATAGCTTCCTTGTGAGCAGCAATCCTCTATCAAGGAAATCTTGATAGGAAACACAAGTCCGGGAATATCGTATCAATTGGGAGACATATACTCCGTATGCAGGCGCTGCTGGAATGTTGCTACATAGAAATGGAAAGTTCACAATTGGGAAGCTGAAATCATCTCTTTTGTCGTAAAGTTTTGTTTTCAACCGACCCTCATTGTCAATTTCTAAATGTAAGTCAAGATATGAGGCAGAGTTAACTGTATCTGTAGTATCCTTTATCTCTAGTTCGATGGGATAGATTCGTTTAACATAGTCACCAAATTTTGTATTAATTAGTGAGAGAACATCATCGTTATAGCGGAACGTAGACTTAAAGGATATTGCTATCTTCTTATCTTTCTTCTTTAGAAGTTCCTGTATGAAGTAAGCCTAATAATAATAAAGAAACAAGTCGGCAAGAAGAGGGGCACAATTGGTTCCTATTGGAATTCCGACAGTCCGTTGAAAAACACGTCCTCCAAACGTAAAAAATATGTTGTCAATCAAGAAATCAAGCATCTTGATAAAGTCAGTGTCAGAGAATTTTTTGTTTGAATCAGAGTGATTCTTTACAAAGTAGGATTTATCCCTCCCCAAGATAAGATACTTGTATCTATGTTCGCCATTCTTTTTACTGAAACAAAGTAATACCAACTCTTTCAATTTGTCTTTTAGTTTGGAATGGGGAATACTTGTGTAAAGTGTAGAAAAGTCAAATGTTTTAATACTATTGCAAGATGAGAGAATCTTAGATTTTATGTACTCTAAAAGATCTTTTTTGAATTTTTTAGTATCCACATCTGATTCACGCCACCTCTAGAATAGGCAGTTTCACAATAACTTTGAAGCAGTTTCACAATAACTTTAAATTTACTGAAGAAAGTTTAATGTCACATTCATATCCCCGGGCGAAGATATTACCAGTTTGTCAGAACGGTAAGATGCAATTTGCGCCAACTATCGTTTTGAAAAAGGTATAAATCTCGTCAATCTCTTTTTTTTTTTTGTATAAATTGCTTATATATAACTCTAAACGATTTACCTATATACATGTGAATGTAGGACAGAAAGTCACAGGACAAAAAGTAACGTGTTATAGTATTCTTTTATTTATCTTTATTAATATTACTTTTACTGTTAAGTCTGGTTTTTTTTAGATATCCATTTGACGTGACGTTGTGTTATGTATCCCGTCATACTTTGAACGACACAATTATTTTATTTATTAATATTACTTTTACTGTTGAGTCTGTTTTTTGTGATATACATTTGACGTGACTCTGTACTTATGTATATCGTCATACTTTGTACCACACAATTATTTTGTTTATTTATTAATATTACTTTTACTTTTAAGTCTGTTTTTTGTTATATTTATTTTACGTGACTCTGTATTTATGTATCCCCTCATTCTTTGAACGACAAAATTATTTTATGTCTACCTGTGCGAATTTTAAACGCGCGATTTTACGCCAGTACTTAAAACCTTCCGTCCTTTATGGGTGGATTTTACATAGATAAATAAAATCGTATAATATAAGCAAAATGAGGATGTTAAATTTGATGTATGCCTTTTTGTGCTTCTTCGTTATATTTGTTTGTTTTTATAGTGATTGAGATGATAACACAATGTTGACTGCTACCCCTATTTTTGACATTTTTACCTATTGTGTCTGGTTTTTTTTTCACGCATCGTTGTCAATATAATGGAATTTGATGCGACTGTTATACAAGTGAGAGGTTTAGCTAGCGATAAAACCAGGTTCAATCCATCATTTTCTACATAAGAAAATGCCTGTACCAAGTCAGGAATATGACAGTTGTTATCCATTCGTTTTTTGTGTTTGAGCTTTTGATTTTGCCATTTGATTATGACTTAAATTTTGAAATTGACTATGAGGGTCGGTTGAAAACAAAACTTTACGACAAAAGAGATGATTTCAGCTTCCCAATTGTGAATTTTCATTTTTAAACCTAGAGTTCCAAATGGTGATTTTGAAATCATCACTTTGTAAAATTTACGGACGCCATCACGAGTTGGTTGACCGTTATGGAATATCCGTTTCACAGATGATATCGGATATGTTCCTTATGTCGTAACTACAATCCCGTTCCCTTTTCACGAATGTGACCTACAGAATTAGACTATTTATCCCTATTTGTGACCTTTTTGCCTATTGTTTTTGTTTGTTTTGTTCACACATCGTTGTCAATATAACGGAATTTGATGCGACTGTCATTCAAGTGAGAGGTTTAGCTAGCTTTAAAACCAGGTTCAATCCACCATTTTCTTCACAAGAAAATGCCTGTACCAAGTCAGGAATATGACAGTTGTTATCCATTCGTTTGATGTATTTGTTTTTTTGATTTTGCAATTTGATTAGAGACTTTCCTTTTTGAATTTTCTTCGGAGTTCATTTTTTTTGTGATTTTGCTTTTCACAGACAAATAGTCACGGACAAAAAGTCACAGGACAAAAAGTCCTATTCAGTTTTGAGACTATTTTTCTTTGAATAAGAAAACACTTATTAAAAAAATTCTTGAATTATTATTTATTGCATATTCAATGTGCGCAATGAATATACAACTGCAGATTTGTTTTGTTTCATTCCTTCGCAAGAATAATATAAACAACAAACAAACAATTGAAATTTGAAATTTGGCTGATTATTTGTCATGGCATTTATTCAACAATTTTCAACAATATAAACCAACAAACAACCAACATCAACAAACTGGCTTACACGTTAAAACTTGATGACAATTGGTCACTGAAGGGAAACCAACAGTAAATGCATAACAATTTCTAGCTGCTGGGCAGATCCATAACAGCTTAATGAACGATATTTGAATAAATCACTGCCAGTTGAATCATGTTGATGATGATATACAACGCACTTTCCATATTGAACGGAATGCCATGACGATTGATATTCTCTTTTTAATTATTCCTGCAAATTCCTTAAATATTCAGGTTTCATTGGATCTGCCGATGAATATTGAAACGTCTGACAATTTTGATGATACATGACAATCTAATTGGAACATTCAATACATTTGGATCTGTTCACCATGTAATCTGAAAAATAAACTAAAAACAGCAGCAATTTTGTTTGTTAAAGGAAGGGAGGGTGGGTTGTGCAATCTTGTTGAAAAATACTCGTGGAATGAAAATTTACCGGGAACACGTGTTTATATATGACCAAAGTCCACGAGGCGCTTCAAAGCATATTCTTTCGTATGTTTAAATATATGGTTGTAAGTATTTAAATGGCAAAACGTAAATAATGGACTGACGTACATTTGAAACACAACAAACAAATAAATGTATTGTTAATGCAATAAATCATTTAATTGTTAGATCATTAAATTTTATTATTGCATATTCAATGTGCGCAATGAATATACAACTGCAGATTTGTTTTGTTTCATTTCCTTCGCAAGAATAATATAAACAACAAACAAACAATTGAAATTTGAAATTTGGCTGATTATTTGTCATGGCATTTATTCAACAATATTCAACAATATAAACCAACAAACAACCAACATCAACAAACTGGCCAACAAGTTAAAACTTGATGACAATTGGTCACTGAAGGGAAACCAACAGTAAATGCATAACAATTTCTAGCTGCTGGGCAGATCCATAACTATCTTAATGAACGATATTTGAATAAATCACTGCCAACATTGGCATTTTAGTGAACTCTCAATCAAATGCTAATCCGCCATGACAATTGAATAAGCAGCATAAATTCAATGAAAATATAATCAACTAGTTGTTATTTTTTTCAACATACAACAAAAATAAACAAACAACATCATTCATGCATCGGATAAACAGAATTATTTGGTATATAGTAAAATTGTTCTAAAGCAGTTTGAAATGAATTCAAAAATATATCATTGCCAATAAACGACAAATGGACGCCATCATGACTAAATAAAGATTGATGTTTGTCTTCAAAATCAGAATGAGTTATAGTGTAACCCCCAGTTTTATTTAAATGTGATTTAACTCCCCTATTTATACGTTTCCTGGTTACATCCATTGCTTTCAAATCTTTTGAATATCTCCATTTCAACCTTGGTAAAATGCTTGAAAAAATAATTTTACCTCCATTCACCATACGTGCAACTATATCTAGCATAAATGTAATATCAAATAAAAGTTTTGCACAGTTAACAAGTCCAATATCATTGCCACCACAGTGAAGCAAAACAGCATCTGGTGAACCGCAACAATGTATCAAATTCTCTACTATTGGTACAACGTTATATACTGACATACCGGACATTCCTGCCCACATCAACTTGTAGCCTAACTTATGCAACCCCAAATCATTTCCCAAAGGTCTTATTTGACTATGTGATGAGGCTTTGGCAACCAAGGAGGATCCAATAATCCAAACCACAAAAATGCCTGAAAACAATTAAAATTATTTAATTTACCAAACGACTTAGCTTTATATATGATTTAAAAGAATTAGAATTCCATCCCCCAAGGGTTTGTATTTCTTCATCCGTTTTGCCTTCGAAGGCTGCAGTAGCTTCAGCCCCTATTCGGAATGAATGCTTATTAAACTCCTCAGGATTCAAACTAATAAAATTCAAAGCAGACCTTAAAACAGCTAAAAACTGAAAAGGAGTCAATTTATTATGATTAAGATGACAAAAAAGTTTGCCTTGAGAATCTGGACGTAACTGTAAGTTATCTTTTAACATTTTGACAACACACAGTTCGTTATCATTATCATTTGAAGACAATATTAAAGTTGTTGAATAACCAATTTGATCCGTCTTTGAAGACATTATTGTAACAAAAACTTCAGATTCAATATCATTAAATTTAATATCTGATATTTTTAAAACATGATTATCAGCATTTTTGTTAACATATGTGATTTCTCCAATTCTCATAAATCCAAAAAAGGCTAAAGCAAATGCTGCCCTAAACAGTTTTGTCTCATAAATTGACTTACAAACATGGTGAAGAATTAATATAAGCCGTTTCAATACATCAACAGTAATAGGTTTTCTTGAATCAACTCTTTTACCCAAACGCTGCATACCTTTTAACATTTTTTCCAAAATGAATGATTTGCTATAATCATTCCAATTATTAATTTTCAACTTATGATTAATTCCTGATATATATGTTTTTGCAGTGGTGTAGGAATAACCATTTTTTGAAAGATATGCAACGTAATTAATTATGTGATCAACAGGCGGTGGCCAACTTTCCTCTTTTTGAAAACTGGATTGAAATTTATTAAATGAACAGATTGCATTTTCATACACATTCGTTGTATTTGAAGAAACAGAGTGTTGTAAAAGTTTATTCACTTCGTCTTTAAAAGGTTCCTGAACTCCACTGGAATTGGATGTGGACAATCGTTGGCTAGTGGTGCTAGACGTCGAAATTTCTGAAAATTTGCACGAGATAATGCATCAGCAATTGCATTGTCCTTTGACAAAATGTGAACAGCTTTAAACTGAAAATTACCAATAAGGGAACAGTAAACAATTAATCTCAAAATGGACATAACTCGTTCAGATTTGCTTGACTTTTTGTTTAAAATTGTAACGTGTAAACCCGAGCGATCAAATAGTTTCGTACCGAAATAGACAAATTCTAGTTTCCAAAGTATATCCCGAAATATCTATCAGAATCGTTATTTGCAAGTCACTCAAATATTAAACAATGATAACCAAAACACATATATATAACGATGACACAAGAAACACTTGCAAGCGCACTATAAAACGGTTGATTTATACCACAGCCAAGTAGAATTTAGAAAACAAACACAATTTTCAAATATATCTTTGTACAGCACAATGAAAGAAAAACAAGTCAAACGGCACTGTCAATCTGCACAGCACAATGGAACAAAACAAATGAACGGCACTATCAATTTGCACTATCTGTCAAATAGATCACCTGGTAGCAAAATGAACACAATAGGCTATAATCACTTTAATACAACATAACAGAATACTCCAACTTTGCGAAATGAATTATTTATACTATACACTATTCAAATCAATTAACCCAACTATACCAAATAAAGTAGCAAATTGAACACTATATATTTTCACTGTCAAATAGCTATCACTTATTTATTCCCTGGATATATTATCAGAATTCCGAATCTTAGAATTATTACTAATAATACACACTTCACTTGGAATTCACTATTTTAATCCAAAGAACAAATTATACTCACTATTCACTATATATAAATATATCCGTTCAGAATGTTCTATACACTGACACTGAACTGCTCTCTCTGCGGTCTTATATACTACCTAAATGGACGAGTCCAAGTACCAATTTAAGGGTTGTCAAGAAGGTATACTTATCACATGACTGTTAACAAGTCTATTATCAATAAAAGGGGTGTTTCAGTACTTAACAAAGTGTGCTCCTTATTTAGGAGGAACTAAATGTAACAAATGAACAGTTTGGCATGCTTTAACCCATTTCACTCCCCGGAATTATTGTATACCATAACAAAACAGGTATTTTCGTTACATTACCCACGCCTCAAAAAACCATGCGTCCTCGCATGACTCCTTGAATACATCTGATATGCTGAGAAATCATCTATCAAAGTGGTCATGTTTCATACCCAAACGCTACCATAGTACAGGCACTATTTCCATTGGACATATGCACTTGAATGTACATTCCAGCCTCGTCAACTATAGATACGTTTGGTTTTCTGCCATTATTCATTCTACGAATGACCCTAGACGATCCGTTGTCATTTGATCGAGGGGTTTGGTATCTATCCCCTCGTCCACGTCTATTATATCCACCACCTCGGCCTCTATGGAATGAATTGTCGTGTGGTTTTCGTTGTGGGCATTCTCTCACAAAGTGACCACTTTTACCCACATTGTAACATTTCTTTTCATTTGTGAGATTTCCCCGCGAGCGTTCTCCGTCTTTTAACTTACCCATTTCAATTGTAAGTTCCTTAATCATATTTTGAATTGATTGCATGCCCTGCTCTAGTTTTTCTACTGCAGTATTTGTATCTGGGGCTGCAACAGGGATGAGCTCATTCCCCTCTTCTTTACTATTATAATCGGCGGATCGCAAATAACCACGATGAGCTCTGTTTGATTCTTCGGCTTTATTGAAAGCTTCTAATTCTACAGATGGTTTAACTGCTTCATCTAGACTTTTGGGTCTTGATTGTTTTATTTTTAATCTCATATCAGAGTCGTACAAGGAATCTATGAACTGCTCTAGAGCAAGCGTTTCACGTACGTCCCTAGGTGCCGTTGGATATGCTAAGTTTGAGAGCCTTCGAAACACTTAGCCTAATTCAGGCAAAGACTCTGTTGCCTTTTTTCTACGCTCCCGAAACTGAACCCTTATAGTTCCGTTTGACTTGGTGGTGCAAACCTTTCTTCCAATGCAACCACAAGACTATCATAATCACTTCGAACTTCTGTTGTTAAATCACCTAATATTCCTTGTGCTTGGCCACGTAATGACACTGCTAAGTACAAACCCATTTGTTCATGTGACCAATCATTGACTTTTGAAACCATATCAAAATGAGATTTATAATCGATCCAAGAATTACCCCCATCATCCGTAGCGGGTTTAATTTCAACACCTTGGTTAGGATTTTTCATTTCACTAGAATTGTCCCTTGTAGACCTTTGTTTCTCCTCTACTAGAATACCCAAATTCGAATTTCTCGAATTACTAAGTGGCATATTTGTACTCAGGGGCTGACTAATATGACCTTGCTTGTCACCAGAGTTTCTATCTAAACTATTACTATAAGGGAGAGTTTCTGAATTTGTTGAAATGCCATTTTCTGATGTGACCTTAGACCTTGCACCAAATATGACTTTGTGCCCCGCTTCATCAGATCTCAATGGGTTTGTTTGTATGGCTGTTTCAACCCCAGAATCACTTTCCTGTGCATTAGTACCAATTTTAGGTGTTGAATGCATAAAACTTTTTCTTTCTTTTAAACTATTTTCAAGGTGTTCAATGGCTGATGTTATATTTCCTATTTCACTATTTAAATCAGACATGTTTAATAAATTTACTCACCAGCTTTATAACTCTTTCGGTCTTTAAACTGTTGACACACAACGTAGTCTCTCTAACTACAAAACACGATCAAATTATATATACTATAGCAATGATATTAAACGAACACAAAAATCACAAAACACAATTCAAATGAAAGATATATTTCTAAAGAATTTAGAATCCCACCCTGCTGCCACCAATTTGTAACGTGTAAACCCGAGCGATCAAATAGTTTCGTACCGAAATAGACAAATTCTAGTTTCCAAAGTATATCCCGAAATATCAATCAGAATCGTTATTTGCAAGTCACTCAAATATTAAACAATGATAACCAAAACACATATATATAACGATGACACAAGAAACACTTGCAAGCGCACTATAAAACGGTTGATTTATACCACAGCCAAGTAGAATTTAGAAAACAAACACACTTTTCAAATATATCTTTGTACAGCACAATGAAAGAAAAACAAGTCAAACGGCACTGTCAATCTGCACAGCACAATGGAACAAAACAAGTCAACGGCACTATCAATTTGCACTATCTGTCAAATAGATCACCTGGTAGCAAAATGAACACAATAGCCTATAATCACTTTAATACAACATAACAGAATACTCCAACTTTGCGAAATGAATTATTTATACTATACACTATTCAAATCAACTAACCCAACTATACCAAATAATGCAGCAAATTGAACACTATATATTTTCACTGTCAAATAGCTATCACTTATTTATTCCCTGGATATATTATTAGAATTCCGAATCTTAGAATTATTACTAATAATACACACTTCACTTGGAATTCACTATTTTAATCCAAAGAACAAATTATACTCACTATTCACTATATATAAATATATCCGTTCAGAATGTTCTATACACTGACACTGAACTGCTCTCTCTGCGGTCTTATATACTACCTAAATGGACGAGTCCAAGTACCAATTTAAGGGTTGTCAAGAAGGTATACTTATCACATGACTGTTAACAAGTCTATTATCAATAAAAGGGGTGTTTCAGTACTTAACAAAGTGTGCTCCTTATTTAGGAGGAACTAAATGTAACAAATGAACAGTTTGGCATGCTTTAACCATTTTCACTCCCCGGAATTATTGTATACCATAACAAAACAGGTATTTTCGTTACAAAATATTCACTACTGCCAAATTATCAATGTGAAAAGTATGTTTTTCTTGTAAAATTGATCAAACCACAAAAATATTGCAAGTGCTATTGGAATGATTTCAAGGTATGTTATTTCTTTAAATATTTCTGAACTATTCCATTCTTTAGGCCACTCGGGAAAAGTCAATTTACCATTAAGATAAGCTGCACACCCTTTACCTAATCCACCAGCACTATCTGAATATAGTTCAAGATAAAAATTTGATATCCGTTTTATATCATTTATATACGAAATCCCATTAAACTGTTCCAAAAATAATTTCCACATTAGTAAATCATTTTTCATGCCTGATGTCACCCTAATAAAGTGAAACGGTTTTGAAACTTTGCCCATGGTTGAATACAAACGACAACTAAACACTCTTCCAGCAGGTAGAGCCTTTGTGCAGAAAGCTAATAAACCACATATTGACTGCAATTCTTTTAACGTTACTTTTTTCATGGCTGACAATTTAATAATTCTGTCTAAACGTTCTTCAACCTTTTTATGTGGCATTTTAACAAGCATGTTAACCGTATCAATTGTAAGACCCAGATATTCAATCAGTGTAGTTGGACCTTCAGTTTTTTCATTTGCAAGTGGGACTCCTAAATTTTTGCAAATTTCATCATACTGAAACATCAGTTGTTCACATTCATCAGAATCTGATTTGCCACCAAATAAAAAATCATCCAAATAGTGGTCTATATTATTTGAACCAGACTTGCTTTTTAAAACCCAATGCAAAAAGGTTGAAAACTTTTCGAAAATAGCACATGATATTGAGCAGCCAATTGCCATTGCCTTGTCTATGTAGTATTCATCTTCAATTTTAAAAACAAGTAAGTAAAAATCTCCAGGATAAACCGGAAGTAATCTAAATGCTGACTTAATGTCCATTTTGGCTAATTTAGCACCTTTTCCAAGTTTCTTAACCATATTAACAGCATTATCAAATGAAGAATATTTAACCGAAGTAAACCTTTCATTAATGAAATCGTTAACACTGCTCAATGGCGGATATGATAAATGGGTAATTAGACGAAGTCCCCCAGTTTTTTTAGGAACTAACCCAATAGGAGAACATCTGAGATTAGATATTGGTCGTTTACAAAAAGGACCTGCTATTCTTCCTAATGATATTTCAGGTTCAATCTTAAATCTAGCTCCAACAGGATTTGACAAAACAGATTTAAAATTTTTTGATTCAAATGGAAATCTTGTCCATGATAATTCAAACTAAATCCAAATTTAAAACCATTAAACAAAATTTGTTTGTCCTGTTCATTAGGATAATCTCTTAAAAATAACTGTAATTGTTTAATATTTATAGGTGAATGTCCCATCTTCCAAATATCATATCTATCCTTTGACAAATCTGAAAGAAAGGTTAATTTCAATTCATTTGATTAAATCTAGGTACTGAATACCTTGTGTTAAATGGTGGTCTATATCTATTTTGCTGAACAAATGAAGGCCTGTTTTGTCGAAACTGGTAAGACATTTGAGGTCTATTTTGGTTAAACATTGGTGGCCTCAATAATCCATAATGAAAACCTTGGTTACCTTGTAACCTGTCAAATCTAACACATGATAAGGCTGGATGTTGTAATGAACATTTCATACAGTTATGTCTATAAAAACACTGAGATTTCTGACAAAATCCTTTAAAGTTAAAATCATAACAAGGTTTTTGTAAGTTAGCCTGATAGACTACATGATAAGTTGTGCCTTGCGATCCCTTTGCAATTTATTTCAACCAAAGAAAGCCATCAATCTCTGACCAAGACTTGGAGTGATTTAGTGATACACGTAATCTAAATTGTCTATCATACTGGTAAACTCTGTCATAAGGAGCATCTGATATAGCATCTCTTATGATTGACATGTATGTAAACAAGTCTTGTGCTAAGCTAGCATGCTTTTGAAGAAGTATTTTAGAAAAATTTGCAAAAGCTTCAGTCCATAATTCAATGTTATTTATAATATTGACCTTTGAAGGTTTATTGGAAATGACAAGCATTCCATTTTCAACAGTAACAATTGTTTCTGGTCCACATTGCTATAATATTGACTATTTTGTTCGAGTAGAATACCAAAATCAACATATTCAAAATTCCAATTTTTTTCTTTTATTTGTTGAGAAACAATTATATCAATTTCATTAGCACATGGCATTAACAAGGGACCAGTATTATTTAAAGTATTACCCGGTCCAGCCTGAACTGCTGTAGTTTTCAGCTGTTTCTGAGGTGGAGGCTGATTATTGGGCTCCACAGGTTGATCTGCTTGCTAATGCTCTGGCGCAGCACGCCTTCTATTTCCACGTCTACCTCTGTTGACCACTTGGACAACTTCCTCAGGGACGGGTTCATCTTCGGGTGCAGGTTCTTCATGAGCAGGTTGTTGAACCCTAACGTCGTTTACCCTGGGCCGTAATCTCCGACGATATTCATTCCTTCTCCTAGGCATTTTATAAATGAAATCAATATTAGTATAATATTTATAAATATATAAAGATGTTCTAATTTATAAAACAGATTACATTGATGCTTCGGCTGCATATAGATAAAATTGTGAATTTAACAACTGTTCCGTACTTGAAATATATATACAAATATAAATGTGTATATAAGTACGCATCTTAAGTCAGCTAGAAGTGTATAATAACCCGCAGTAATTTGGGCAGCAGTTGTAAATGCAATATATTTGTAATAATTGGGCGTTCCATAACTTGATAACAGGTATAATATAAGTGTCAATTTATTATATCAAATTTAAAGACGGCTATATACATGTATGTACAATAACATCCAGCAAACTGAACAGCAGTTGATTTTATAATTAAATAAATGCCGTTACATTTGTAATAATCGGGCGTTCCGTAACTTGAATAACCGGTATAATGTAAGTGTGAATTTAAATCAATACAGGTAGATAAAGTACGCGAATTAAAATAACTAAGCGTATAATCGTAAGCAAGCCTACACATGCATTTCATAGCTAATTAAATGAAATATTCAATGCTACAATGGTAAAATAGAAACAAAAACTTACCGATAAAAATACCATGTTTAAGAACTGTGAATTAAATGCAACAACCAGAAGTCAATGAAATTAAACGGTAATAAATAAGCATATATTTAAATTAATATTGAATTGACATAAAACAATTCATGTATTTAATAGTGAAAGTAAAGGGTAACAAAATTACGACCCTGTGCAAACACGTGTTAAATTTAAAGTTACCTGTTTTACTTTATCGTTTATCGTTACAGGTAAAAAGTTTGCTCTTTAAATGTAAACCAAATTATTAAAGTGAATTTAAATGCACAAAAGGAAACGTATTTAAAGTATAATGAATAAACTTAATCAACTTATCTTATTAACGCTCTGGTCCTATCCTTGTGCAATCTTGTTGAAAAATACTCGTTGAATGAAAATTTAGCGGGAACACGTGTTTATATATGACCAAAGTCCACGAGGCGCTTCAAAGCATATTCTTTCGTATGTTTAAATATATGGTTGTAAGTATTATAATGGCAAAACGTAAATAATGGACTGACGTACATTTGAAACACAATAAACAAATAAATGTATTGTTAATGCAATAAATCAATTTAATTATTATATCATTAAATTTTGATATAAAGCAACTTTGTAATTAATATTTATGTAGTAAATTTCAATTATGATCAAATAATTGTTAAGAAAGCAAAATGTCAAAGTGGCTTGGTTCTTAAATGGCTTCATTGTGCCAAGAATTATATCCTGTGCATGGTTAAAGATCGTTAACATTTTATATTTTTTCATTCATCAAGACTAATAAACGATTTCATAAACTGCAAAATGAATATATGAAATAAATCTTTCTCTTATATATTCAAACAATTTGTCAACAAATTATTTGTGACCTTTTGTCCTGTGTTTTTTGTTCTATCAAATTTGTGAATTTCTGTCCTGTGACTTTTTGTCCTGTGACTTTCTGTCCGTTTTCCATACTTGTAACATTAATAATACTCACCTGTAAGGATGTCTGAAATTTTGTTTAAAAAGATAGAATTTGATAGACAGTCCGAAATCTGTCGTGGTTGTGAAAATTATAAATACCGTCAGGCTTTTATAAAAAAAAATCGAGAAATTAATATTTAAATACATGTATAATGCGCTCTGATAAATCATGCTATGCAAGGCTATTTACAGATGACTCGTGCACAGTCATTATGATTTGGGAATAAGATCAAGTACATGAATTAAGCACACAGAAACTAGCCCGTTAGTTGGAGGTTGGAAGTCAGTTATAAAGTAAATATCAAAGTAAAAGTATATAAATATATAACAGTTGCTTTGTTTTATAAAAAGACCATAAACCCACTTATTCATGGTCTGGTATCAATATTTCTGACCTGACACTACGTACTTTTTATTGCTTAATTCTTTAGAATTTAATATGCAACGTTTCGGGTTCTTTCGGGAATAATCCCAGGTAAACCCTCATCAGAGGCCGACCTTTATATATTTATTTTATATCTAGTATAGTAGATAGATGTGTGTCTGTTTCATAACAGTTTTTTTTTCAAATTTACTACACGTGCATATAGGTCTAAGTTGTAGCTAGTCTTTTTACAGACTAAAGAAACTGACCAAGTAGATCAGCACCTTTGGTTAATTATTCATATATATAATGAAAAGACTTATTGTCTTTATTCTCGTAATCTAATATATCATAAATCTACACGAGATCTAATAGAGATAGTAGTTATCAGTGCTATACTTTTGAATTCACACTAGACTGTCGTGTATGTTTTAACACCTATTTGATAATATACAATTTTTTCGATGTTTAACAATTGAAGAGGTTTATGTAGATACCATGTCGGATCTATGCATGAATATAACAGGAACCATTCTGTTTTCCCTTGTACGTGATCTCTTGAAATAAATCGGCATCACGTCTTTTTACATCTGTTTCACAGTATAATGATTGTATACTAAAGCCTCCCGTGGTGGGGTATTGTGAATCAATGTCTTCGGCTTAATGATTAATTATCATGTTGCCAATATTCTTATTGTTTTTTAAACCAATATCTGGTTTGGATTGAGATAGTTTTTTTTTTTTTGGTTTTTTTTTTTAGTTTTTTTTGGCAATCGGATCTTTCCGAATTATTGACCAAATTTTGTTATTACCGTGTTAAGATATTCAAGATATTTCTGCTACTTGTTTTCTAATATTTGGTTTCTTTTGAAGTTGCTGTCTGCATCTATGCTAACTTAGCCTATCTGTTTTGTTAGGGAGAAATCCGCAAGACATTTACACTTTCGACCGTATTTATGCGTTTATCTTATAAGTACATGTTGCTATTGTTTCTAAAAATTCTCGTACCTTCAGAAGGAATGAAAACAATGTACTATTTCAAATAGTTGTTCACTTTGTTCACCTTCTTCATTAAATATATATTAAATCCATCAATTCTCATTCTTTAGTGGAATTTAATATTATTTTCGTAGGGTATTTCTCTGTTTTATGTCTATAATTATGGTTAAATAAAGCAATATCAGATATTTCCAAGGAGGCAACTCTGCCCATTGAAACGCCAACGATCTGTTGCTAGTATAATAGTATAACTTTCGTTGTTCATTGACAATCATATTTATTTGTTATTAGTTTCCATGTAACCTTCAACGGCTTAAAATAATATTTATTATGATATTAGTTGCTTAACGTCCTGTTGCCAATATTTCATGTATGTTTAGGACTGTGATATAGTGATGACATAAGGTTGTTTGCTAGTATAATAGTATAACTTCCATAGTTCGTTGACAATCATATTAGTTGTAGTTAGTTTCCATGCTACCTTCTAAGGTTTGACATGATACAGCGATAAATAAACGATATTTGGTTGCTTAGCATCCAGTGGCAAGTATTTCATGTATGTTAAGGAATATGATATAGTGATGACATAAGGTTGTTTGCTAGTATAATAGTATAACTTCCATAGTTCATTGACAATCATATTAATTTGTAGTTTGTTTCCATGCTACCTTTTAAGGTTTGACATGATATAGCGATAAATTAAAGATTGTTAGTTGCTTATCATCCAGTGGCAAATATTCCATGTATGTTTAGGACTATGGTATAGTGATGACATAAGGTTGTTTGCTAGTATAATAGTACAACTTCCATAGTTCATTGACAATCATATTAGTTTGTAGTAAGTTTCCATGCTACCTATTAAGGTTTGACATGATATAGCGATAAATTAAAGATTGTAAGTTACTTATAATCCAGTGGCAAATATTTCATGTATGTTTAGGACTATGATATAGTGATAACATAAGGTTGTTTGCTAGTATAATAGTACAACTTCCATAGTTCATTGACAATCATATTAGTTTGTAGTAAGTTTCCATGCTACCTTCTAAGGTTTGGCATGATACAGCGATAGATTAAATATTGTTGGTTGCTTAGCATCCAGTGGCAAATATTTCATGTATGTTTAGGACTATAATATAGTGATGACATAAGGTTGTTTGCTAGTATAATAGTACAACTTCCATAGTTCATTGACAATCATATTAGTTTGTAGTAAGTTTTCATGATACCTTCTAAGGTTTGACATGATACAGCGATAAATTAAAGATTATTGGTTGCTAAGCATCCAGTGGCAAATATTTCATGTATGTTTAAGACTGATATAGTGATGACATAAGGTTGTTTGCTAGTATAATAGTATAACTTCCATAGTTCATTGACAATCATATTAGTTTGTAGTTAGTTTTCATGATACCTTCTAAGGTTTGACATGATACAGCATCCAGTGGCAAATATTCCATGTATGTTTAGGACTATGATATAGTGATGACATAAGGTTGCTTGCTAGTATAATAGTATAACTTCCATAGTTTATTGACAACCATATTAGTTTGTAGTAAGTTTCCATGCTACCTTCTAAGGTTTGGCATGATACAGCGATAGATTAAAGATTGTTGGTTGCTTAGCCTCCAGTGGCAAATATTTCATGTATGTTTAGGACTATGATATAGTGATGATATAAGATTGTTTGCTAGTATAATAGTATAACTTCCATAGTTCATTGACAATCATATTAGTTTGTAGTTAGTTTCCATGCTACCTTCTAAGGTTTGACATGATACAACGATAAATTAAAGATTGTTGGTTGCTAAGCATCCAGTGACAAATATTTCATGTATGTTTAAGACTGATATAGTGATGACATAAGGTTGTTTGCTAGTATAATAGAATAACTTCCATAGTTCATTGACAATCATATTAGTTTGTAGTTAGTTTTCATGATACCTTCTAAGGTTTGACATGATACAGCATCCAGTGGCAAATATTCCATGTATGTTAAGGAGTATGATATATTGATGACATAAGGTTGCTTGCTAGTATAATAGTATAACTTCCATAGTTCATTGACAATCATATTAGTTTGTAGTTAGTTTCCATGCTACCTTCTAAGGTTTGACATGATATAGCGATAAATTAACGATTGTTGGTTGCTTAGTATCCAGTGGCAAATATTTCATGTATGTTTAGGACTATGATATAGTAATGACATAAGGTTGTTTGCTAGTATAATAGTATAACTTCCATAGTTCATTGACAATCATATTAGTTTGTAGTTAGTTTTCATGATACCTTCTACGGTTTGACATGATCATGTACGTTTAGAACTATGATACATATAGTGGTGAAACAAGGTTGTTTGCTAGTATAATAGTATAACTTCCATAGTTCATTGACAATCATAATAGTTTGTAGTTAGTTTCCATGCTACCTTCTAAGGTTTGACATGATACAACGATAAATTAAAGATTGTTGGTTGCTAAGCATCCAGTGACAAATATTTCATGTATGTTTAAGACTGATATAGTGATGACATAAGGTTGTTTGCTAGTATAATAGAATAACTTCCATAGTTCATTGACAATCATATTAGTTTGTAGTTAGTTTTCATGATACCTTCTAAGGTTTGACATGATACAGCATCCAGTGGCAAATATTCCATGTATGTTAAGGAGTATGATATAGTGATGACATAAGGTTGCTTGCTAGTATAATAGTATAACTTCCATAGTTCATTGACAATCATATTAGTTTGTAGTTAGTTTCCATGCTACCTTCTAAGGTTTGACATGATATA